CAACCGTAATAGTATTGGAATTGTATTGTTGTTATATAATAATAATAATAATAATAAATCAATAATTATAGATTTTATTTTTATAATTTAAGTAATAATTAAATAAATTATTATTATTATTATTAATGCAAATTGCAATTAGATGTGTTTGCCTAATTTTTTCTGCCTGTTTTTAAATGAAATAATGCACATATTTTCATGCCTGTACAATATATAAAACATTTATGGCTGGTAAATTTTCACCAACTATTGGTAGGCCCCATTTTTAAGTTGTCAATAACATATGTTTTGTATCTTTAGTATTTTTTTACATGTGTATCTTTATTATTGTTAAGCATAATAAAACATAATAATTAAATAAAACGTAATAATAATTAAACATCTTTTTTTTAATTGTTGCTTTTATTTTTATTTTGTTACTTGTTTATGTTTTGTTATTCCTTTTATATTCATTTTTTAAAAATATATTTTAAAGCATTTTGAGATGCATTTAATGGACGAAGGTTGCTATACAGATAAATATATTATTATTATTTATGTTATTTTTTCCAAGCCTGGGCATCTTATATTTTGTGCATCATGTTGTATTTATCATTTCTAAAGCTTTTAAAAAGCTTTTCCCACCAGTATATTAGAGAAAATGCATTCTGTTTTCTCGTGTGTATGTAAATGTGTGGGTTTGTGTGAATGTGGGTGGATTTCAGTCCAGTCTCAAGTGTAATGGCAAAAAAGACTCTTCCCTTTGAACAGACGGAATCTCTTCCAATCTCTTGAATGCAATTATGTTATTCTGGCAAGGCTCGCCATTAACGATGGATCCAGTTCAATTCAAGGTCAACTGCACCCAAAGATTAAGAAATGACCAGTAAGAAAGTGATTACTCCATTGCACAGACTAATAAGACATTAACCCAACAGAGGATTGCCTTCCTTTAATGGCACAATCTCTTTCATTTTATTTTGTCAATGGCTTCAATCATTCTTTTATAGAACCCGCTTGCTATTTAAATCCATGCGGTAACTCACAAATAAATGTTTAGATGTATACTGACAGTCCTGTCATTTACAATGTCTATTCCTGTGGTATAGGTTTCATTTGCTCTGCAGAGGAAAAGAGATTCAATACATTGGGAATATTGTGCTCATGATGTTACACAGTCCATGTCTCTTTTACTGAGGCTCAAAATCATGCAGAATTGTGTTGTAAACAAGATTTTTCCATCTCAAAACTGATGCTGAGTGAAGAAGAATTTCTGTGCTCTTAAATGTGTTATTGACTTCATGTCATCCGGTGTTGAAGATGACGGCATATCTTATGTAAATATTTGCATCCTCCACGTAAGGAACTGCACCACTGGTATCTTGTTCTCATCTGATGTACCTGCTTTTCTTTTCTTCTCTCATTCTCGCCCTGTCAATTACTCTTTTGTTTCGCCTTGGTGCTCCAGTTGACAAACAAAGGCATCCGTGTGCCCTGTTTTCTTAGTTTCGCACCGTGTTCTCCCTGAGCTTCTCCTATCTTATTAGAAAGAGGTCCTATGTGAGGTCACCACACATTTAATTGTCTCTGCTCCTGCAGAAATGCCCACCTGTCAATCAAGTGCTGTCAATCAGAGCTTAAATGTGTTCAAATCCACCCCAGGTCACACTCATGGTGGTTGTGCATTCACAGTCTAGTGCCCCCCAGAGGAAAGGGTTTATACAAAGGCAATTATTGATTGTTTGCAGAAGGATCTGCTTGAATGAGGGCTTTAACCTTCTTCTGTATTGTGTGGTAAGTGGTCTGTTTTTGTGTTGTGCTTTTGTGTGTGTACAGTATTTTGTGATTATGCAATTTTCCTAAGATGGCAAGATGCCTGGGTTGATCCAGATTTTATGAGGTGTGTCGTCTTGTAAATAAACCATGGTTTCTGTTTCTCTGTTCTGTTCTGAGTGTCAGTAGCTGTCTTTATGGTTTGTGGTTGGGTGACACTGAAGAAAAAGGTAGCTGTTTCTTCAGTATTGCAGGTTAGTTTGCAGATACTTCAATGTAGAATGTGTTTAAGCATATAATGTATCTGGTTGCCATGACGGTAACTTCACAAGTTTGTTTCTGCTCCCTACAGTTCTCTTGGTGCAAGCAGCTTTTCACGAAAAGCCTAAACGAAAATGTGTTTCAACATCAAGTTGAAAGAAGCCCATCCATTTATCTGTACAAGATGTGAAAAGGAAAGAAAGACACTTTGCTTTCACTGTAAAAGTTCAGTTTGGGCAGAATTTTCTTCTGACAATGTTAGATGTGGAATTGGTGTCATGGTTTTATGCTGATAATTAATTTATATCTAATATTTAAAGTAATCATGAACTTTTTTCTATAGATTTTATTATGATTTATTGTTTTTATTATTATTATTATTGACCTTGTAATGTTTAATCAGAGTAACTGGATCTTTCGGAAAATGACAGTCATCTCTTTGGTGATGTATGCTGTGCTTCTCCAACCATTTAAAGTGTTCACCTAAAAAGTTCCTTTCTTTTGTTAAACACAAAAGAGGAATGTTGGTACCCAAACAGTTGATGGTAGCCATTGACTTCCATAATATTTTTTTGAATACCATGGAAGTCAATGGGGACCATCAGCTGTTTGGTTACAACATTCCTCAAAATATCTTCTTTTGTGCTCAACAGAATAAAGAAACTCATATTGATATGGAAATTGAGGCTGAGTAAATGATGACAAAATTACGAAAATTCTGCACAAAAATAATTTCTGCATGAAAATTCTGTCAAATTTTTTTTACATGCAGTTTATCTTTTCAGACCAGTGTGTTACAAATGACAATGAAAATTCAGTTTTATTAAACAGCAGTTTCTCTAAATTTGATATGATTTGTGATTGATCAGTTTTATTCGCAGTGTGATGGAAAAATATTTAGAAAACCTCTCCATAAAAAAAACTTGCATGCAGAAGTTTTTGTGGGTCTGAAAAGACACATAAACAGTTGTTCGTTCAAATTAAAATGTTTATCGCAACAAATTTTAGCACCGAACATTAATCTCATTGTGAACAGGCCTTTAAACCCTGCCTCTCCACAATCACATGAATTTTTGAGTGCAATGACCACATCTCAAAATCCAATCAACAACTGATGGATAGAAGTCACTGCCATACTTTTCTTTTTCTTTTTCAATTGCCCTCTACCCCTGAGTGTTCTGGTTCGAGACAAGTCGCCCTACAATGGCACAAAGACTGTATGTCTCTATCTGTCTTCCAGAAGCCTCCCTTTATGCCATCCCCCGGGCACTCAGGGTGTGTCTGTGAGATGGGCATCTGGGAGGATTTGAACTACTTTACCTGTGTTGCTCTTTCTCAACAACTATTGCTGCTGGATGTGATACTGAAACAAATCTCATGTCCTTTCCTTTCCTTTCCTCCTTCCTTTTTATTTCCTTTCCTTCCTTTCACTGCCTTATTTTCTTTCCTTCCTTCCTTTCTTTATTCCCTTTCGTTTCTCCTTATTTCCTTCCTTTGTTCCTTTCTTTTCTACCCCTTCCCATTCCTTACCTACTTCTTTCTTTTTATTTTATTTCCTTTACCTCTCTTTCTTTCCTCCATTTATTCTCGTATTCCTTCTTTCTCTCTTCCCTTCCCTTGTTCCTTCCTCTATTCTCACTTTTCCTTTTTTAAATTCTCTTCCATCCTTTCGTCCTTTTTTCCTTACTTCCTGCTCCCCCTCCCACCTTTCCTTCCCCTTCCCTTCTTTCCTAGTTTTCTTTCCCATTTTCTTCTTCACTTCTTCCTTGCTTTCTTGTTCACTTCAGGTTTCCCTTCCCTTATCCCTTGCTCAAGAAATTTATAACTAGCATCATTCACACACCCCCACCCCTCTCTGAGACACACACACTCTAGAAAACACACATGCAGACACACACTGCAGCCTCTAAGAAAAGCAGCCGCATCAGTTTTCAGAGCAGTGCTCTCTCCTTTCCCCCCTCCCTTCTCTATCTCACTCTCTCCCAGTCTCATGCTCACCCACTCACTCTCCCTCCTCTTCTGCTTTCTCTCTGTCGCACATTCTATCACTTGCTCTCTCTCTCTCTCTTGTTTCCGCTCTCTCTCTCTCTCCCTCTGCTTGCTTCTCTCACACTCTGTGTGCCTGTGTTTCTGCCAAGGTCTGAGTCTTTCAGTGTGGGAATGTACCAAGCTTAGAGACAGAACTGCCTTTGAATTCTGGTGCAATGATGGATGCAGGGCAGAGGCTCGGATGTACACTGACAGAACGGGAGAACTAAGGGCAGGGATTGGGAAAAGGATCTGATGGATTTAACCCTGGCAGCCGTCTCTGCCTGATCAGAGTACATCATTCTCCCCCGCTCTGCTGTTCTCTCCTGTGGGGTGGATTACCGGCTGCCCGTGTCTACTCATGCACCGCTGTAGAGACTAGAGGGAAGATCCAAGCTGCGTAGCCAGAGACGAAGTGCCGTGTCGGGAGAGCGAGAGAGTGGAGCTGTGCTTCTGCCGCTACCTGAGCTTCTCCACACACACACACACATATACACACACTCACACACACACACACACACACACAGAGGCAGGGCTGCGCCAGCCGCGACGGCCGATGCGTTAATGCAGCTGTAAGAGAAGATCTGCAGCAGGGAGCTGCCCTCGCTCAAACACTCATGGATGTATAAAGAAAATCTGACTCTGGGCAGAACATAGACGGATCCGCAAAACTTAATTTTTGTTCTATTTTTCATCTCTATATATGGAATGTCTTGGGAATTACCTTCGGTTCTACGGAAGCTGAACTAAAGAGAGGCTCGTTCCCAAAACCCGCTCTTCTCCCAAACCTGGTCCTCTTTGATTCCTGATCGAGTGTGTGTGTATGTGCATGTATGTGTGCGTGTGTACGTGACTATTGGTGTCTTTGAGCTTTAGGGTTTGTTTATTGTATTTGTAAAGAATTACTATTTATGTGTTAATATATATATATATATATATATATATATATATATATATATAGGCTGATGTCTGCTGTGCTATTCATATGAGTAGTCAGTATTGCATGTATCTGTAGCTGTGGAAGAGTGTTAAATGAATATTAATGAGATGCCCAGTTTTGGCTCCCTCCCCAGCCCCCTCCACTGCTTGCACTACTTCCTGGCTGGGCCCTGAACCCCAGAAGCATGAGTGAGAGAACGGCACTAGGGGCCACCATGGAGACCATGACCCTGGAGGAGCCCGGGGGTGAACAAGTCTCTCCCCGGGCCCCAGGGCCCGTCCGCTGTGGCCCCTGTGCGGTGTGGCCCCGCCAGCAGACCTGGCTTTGCGTTGTGCCCCTACTGATGGGCTTTGTGGGCCTAGGCCTCAGCCTGATGCTTCTAAAATGGATTGTGGTGGGCTCAGTGCAGGATTACGTTCCGACTGACCTGGTGGACGCCAATCGCATCGGACAGGACCCCATTTTCCTATCTAAACCCAGTGCCCTGCCCAAGGGTTCTGATGGCTCCACGTCTACCACTTCCGCCCCGCCCTCAGCGGCTCCGGGTTCAGCAACCCGAGCAGCTGAGGGTACAGGTACAGTGCAAAGGACTCGAATTGGGCAGTCCTCAAACCACACGGCCAGTAGCAGCAGCAGCAGTGGAGGAAGTGGAGGGGCCTTAGGGGGAGGCTCGGGAAACAGAGCTCCACACCTGCATAACAGAGTGGGAACGCGACTGACCAACAACACCACCGCCACCCGAGCCACCAATCCTGCCCCACCAGGAGGAAAGGAGGTGACCCCACGCAGCACCACTGTCCGAAAACCCAACGGGGAGGGTGGGAGCCGAAAGGCATCTCCTTCTGGACGGGCTGGGCCACCGAGTACGAGCACGACGACAACTACGATAATGACGAACACAACCACCACCCAAGCGGCCCAAGCGGCCCAACCGACCTCCACCCTCGCGTCCCCCTCCAAGCCCGGTCAACGCTGGAACCATGGGCGCTCCTCTAAGGGCCCTTCAACAAAGCCTACTCGCCCACACCATCGCTTCAGGACGCGTAAGTGTGATCATCTAAACATTTTGATTGTATACATGCATGGATATGGGTGAGTAGATATGTTTGTGTGTGTGAGCTTGTCCCACCATCTGTGATGATGTGATTTTATGATACACCCTTTTTTTCTTTGTCATATAGCCACATTATTTGGTAAGGTCTCATTATTTTGCTTGCTTCTAATAAAATCCCTTCCCAGCTTCTTATGCATCAGGATAGATACCTATTCCAACTCTCTTCTCGGCATTACAAAAGAGGCAGTCATGCAGTCTAATAGTCTTCGTGCTTGCTGCTGAGTTCATTAGTTCTGCATGTCAATGAGAGAGCACATAGGCGACTGCTTTTCATCTCTGTCTTTATCCTCTCTGTATCATGTGTACATGGTGCTGCCCACTTGCTCTGTTTGTTTTATATCAGTTTTCAGGAATAATGACTCCCAGTGTTGCAGCTTCCGTTTTTTCCCAATAGCATTAGCATGTTCTCCCATTTAAAGTAGGTCTGTTGTTAGAGAGAGATTTCACCTGATCTAAAGCAGATATTCAAGGTGAGAGGAGGAGAGACAGATTGAAGGTAAAAGAGGAAGTGTAGTGCTGGAGAGGGTGCTGGCTGCTCTCGTCCTGTCAGTGGAGATCAGGTCTTAGGGTGGAGATTCCATTTAGATAAGTAAAGATATGAGTACTGCAGTAGGTATGGTAGGTAGACTTGAGGCAGTGGATACACTTTAAGACACTCACACAGGGAGTGTGCGCACACACACACACACTCACTCACTCACTAGAGAGAATTGAAGAAGTGAGATATGAGAACACTGCAAATGGGAAATAGTATTTACATTGTAATCTGTGTGTGTATGACTCCATGTATGTCTTTATACATCTGTATGATAATACTGTCAGTTCCAGTGTCAGCATTACTATTTTGAAATTGTAGCTGTCAAGCCACAAGCTACTCATATTTTTGTCAAACTAGTAGTTTGCTACATTAAGGCTACCTATCAGGCTACTTATTCTTTTAAATGCATACATCTTGGTATATTAATTATTCATAAATTTTACAATTTAGTTAGCTTCTTTGTCTTTAATAAAACTAGTGGGGGTTTTAATGAATGAATGAGCAATGTTAATTAGGGTTGCTATACTAATAATATAAAATACAGTAAAAACAGTGAATTGTGAAATATTTTTGCAATTTAAAATTATTATTTTAAAATGCAATTGAAGACTTCAGATTCAATAACCTCTGAGTCCGTCTGAGATTTTTCTTAGATTTTTCTTTTAAATTAGCATTTTTATCAGTCTCCTATGATTAGGTTCAGTAATTTCACTTTAATTGCAATGAGAAGGTTATTAGTCAGTTTATTATTGGGATAAGTCAGTGCCTTATTTTTGAAAATGTCCCATGTTATTTCCATAGGAGCCTGATAAAAATGCTAATTTAAAAGAAAAATCTGAGATGGACTAAGAGGTTTTTGCATTTTAAGTCATCAATTTCACCCTGTGTTGGCAAAGCTGAATTTCCAGCAGCCATTACTCCAGTCCTCAGTGTAAAGTGATTTTTCATAAATCATTCTAATGATAATGATTTGGTGCATTTCTTCTTATTATTGATGACGAAAATGTATCGATGTTGAAGTATTTTTTAAGGATGCACTCCCAATCTGTTCATTCACATGAACCCTAAACAAATCAGTTCAATAACATGAACCTGCTATTGCAATGCTACATGTGACACATTTCAGGAGGGAGCATGTTTGATTGTTCACACTTGGTCACACTATATGGTACACATTGGTAAAAGTAGCTTGTTACTGGAAAAGCTAGCCTATACTAATTTGAAAGAAGCCAATCTGCTTTCAAGCTACTGAGTTAGTGAGGGTGAGTTAGTTATTCTCTAACACTGCACAATTCACTCATGAATCCAGAAAGAATGTGCTGTCTAAACAAAATCCAAGTTTGTTTTCAGTAACTAAAAAAATTCAGTTGTATTAGGGAATGGGGAATTAGCTTTAGTCTGCATGCTAATTTGATGTACTTCTGTAATCAAATCTGGAACGTTGTTTATTTATAAAGCAAGGTGTTAAAAGCAGGCCATCAATTTTGTGTCAGCACCAATTAGTTAGTGTGGAGTTTGAATGTCATCCAGTCCTGGGACTTTAAACAGCCCCTTACAGTTAGAAGACAATTGCAGAGCTAACTTAAATGCATTTCACATTAGTGCTCCTGCTTCTTCTTCAATAATCGTATCTTGGAAATCACAGAGAGGTTTATGGCATATACAAATCTAAGCAGTTAACCATGGTTTGTGTGTTTTCATAAGGGTAACAAGTCAAGATCTGCTTCTTTATGCCCCTAGGCAACGTTCCCATAGCTGACTTTTATCTAAAAAATATATATATATATACATAAATATATATGGTTTTTTTCTGTAGTTATGTGTGAATATGTAAACTGAATCCAGCACTCTAGTCAACAGTGAGAACATAGCGAGCTGCTTGTATAAAGAGAAGCTGATGTATAATTTAATACCACACATTCTCTCTTTCACATTGCAGTGAATTTTTTCTTGAGCTGAAAGTGCCCTGGAGCGAATACTGATAAGGGAAGGGTGGGGGGACAAAGGAGGGCCCTGACCCTGGGGGCAGAGAAGGACGAGAAACCATGCTTTTGGCCAAGGCTCTTGAAGACCACATGGCTGTCTTTTTTATTTATTAATACGTTGACAGTGTCTGTGTCAGGGTCATTGCTAAAATTCACAGGACTTGTGACAAAGTTTTTATGGGTGGGCCCTTTTCCCAGTCTATATATCCATGAAGCAGTGTTTCTCAAGTGGTGATTCCTGACCCAAAAACAAATATTAAAATGGCTGCTGAAAAACAAGCAAGCAAAATATATATTAGTTTGGGGTTGGACACATTTTTAAATGTTTTTGAATGCTTACCAAGGCTGCATTTATTTGATTAACAATACAGTAAAACTGTAACGTTCCCAATAGCATTATCATGTGCTCCTATTTTAAATTATGAAATATTATTACAGTTTAAAAGGAGTCCAGTCAAATCTGGAACGTTGTTTATTTATAAAGCAAGGTGTTAAAAGCAGGCCATCAATTTTGTGTCAGCACCAATTAGTTAGTGTGGAGTTTGAATGTCATCCAGTCCTGGGACTTTAAACAGCCCCTTACAGTTAGAAGACAATTGCAGAGCTAACTTAAATGCATTTCACATTAGTGCTCCTGCTTCTTCTTCAATAATCGTATCTTGGAAATCACAGAGAGGTTTATGGCATATACAAATCTAAGCAGTTAACCATGGTTTGTGTGTTTTCATAAGGGTAACAAGTCAAGATCTGCTTCTTTATGCCCCTAGGCAACGTTCCCATAGCTGACTTTTATCTAAAAAATATATATATATATACATAAATATATATGGTTTTTTTCTGTAGTTATGTGTGAATATGTAAACTGAATCCAGCACTCTAGTCAACAGTGAGAACATAGCGAGCTGCTTGTATAAAGAGAAGCTGATGTATAATTTAATACCACACATTCTCTCTTTCACATTGCAGTGAATTTTTTCTTGAGCTGAAAGTGCCCTGGAGCGAATACTGATAAGGGAAGGGTGGGGGGACAAAGGAGGGCCCTGACCCTGGGGGCAGAGAAGGACGAGAAACCATGCTTTTGGCCAAGGCTCTTGAAGACCACATGGCTGTCTTTTTTATTTATTAATACGTTGACAGTGTCTGTGTCAGGGTCATTGCTAAAATTCACAGGACTTGTGACAAAGTTTTTATGGGTGGGCCCTTTTCCCAGTCTATATATCCATGAAGCAGTGTTTCTCAAGTGGTGATTCCTGACCCAAAAACAAATATTAAAATGGCTGCTGAAAAACAAGCAAGCAAAATATATATTAGTTTGGGGTTGGACACATTTTTAAATGTTTTTGAATGCTTACCAAGGCTGCATTTATTTGATTAACAATACAGTAAAACTGTAACGTTCCCAATAGCATTATCATGTGCTCCTATTTTAAATTATGAAATATTATTACAGTTTAAAAGGAGTCCAGTCTTCAGTGTCACATGATCCTTTAGAAATCATTCTGATATGCTGATTGAGCTCTTTACAAACATATCCCATCCCAGTTGAAAATGGTAGTGTTGCCTAATACAATTTTTTTATTTACTTAATATATTTTTATTAACTATTAATATCATATTTAATTCAATATTTAACTGGACCAAAACCTTACTGGGCACCCCACTCACAGGGTCCATGACAATGTACCTGGTTTGCTCACATGACAACAGTGGACAGAAAGCATAGTTGTTTGACGCATTATTGCAGTGATATGCTTTTTTGAACAGTGTGCAGCTTTCCGAAAGTGTGTGAAATTTCTTTATATTGTGAAATATGAGATGGTTGGAGGACAGATTTGCTTCTTGAAATAGATCTGCATCAAACAAGGGAGGTGTACTTGTTGGGCCAAGCTGTTTTATGAATAGAAATGGCAAATAGAAAAGAGTAGTGGACTGTAAGTTGGATTTTGAATGTGCAATATTGTGTCGGGTAATACATCATTGTATAATATAATACAAGCTCGTTCCGCCCCTGCTTGGACTTTCTCTCTGAGGATCATCTGAGAGGGAACATGATGAAATGCACTGGTAGCGGCCATGGGCGAACGCATCCATCTTTACGACTGCAAAATGATCTCATGTTTTGGTGGGACTTATATGGTAATGCACCGGGAGAGACTATGTTGTATTTTCCATAGGATCCCAATTGAATAAGCGAGACACTAACATCGTTTTAAAATCACCCCAATGAGACTGCATCTCTCATTCGTATCTGTATTATTATCCGATTGTTCTGAAGGATGACATGCAGCCGTCCATTAGCAGCAGCGCTGAAACCTGAGCCACTCATCTTCTTCCCTGCCTTCCAACTCCATTTCTTTCACCCTGATGCATGTCGTCCTCCACCTTTACATTTCCTACTCTAATATTATCCTTTATTCTGTCCTCCTCCTCCTCTTTATCCTTATTTCATTTTCCCTCTCTCCCCCTGTCTTCATGCCTGAGTTTCCTGTATGTGTTTTTCACAGTTGGTCTCTATGTCCTATCTATGTTCGGGGTTGATTTGGCTCAGGGGCCAAG